CAAATATTCCCTTACTGCTTAAGTTATTTTCTTTCATTCAGAACAGAAAAAGTGGGATCTGACCTTCCTGCTTTGTTTTGTTCTCCCCAGTGGGGACAGAGGAAGCAGCATCTCCACAGGCTTCTGAGCCTGTGCAGCAGGTGCAGAAAAGCTCTAAAGGGAACGAGCCTCAGTTTGCTAGAGTGTGAGAAGGTGAGGTCAGGTCTCAGGTGGGGAACCTGCTCCAGCACAGCCAGAGTCCTTTCCAAGGAGTAAGAGCGATACAAGTATCCACCATCTGCAGGACAGGAGACACAGGCAGAAGAATGTGAGACTGGTGTCATTCTTTGCCACACATGCAAAAGCTTTTGTGGGGAGAGGCCCAGGAAATACGGTTTATGGGGAAACAACTTTCCAGAATGCTGATACCAAACGAAATCTGAGACTTTGTCTGTAGTAGAACTGCACAGCTTCTGTGAGAGCCTCCATTTCTATGGTGTCTGTGAGGAACAGGTTCCAAAACCAACTGTCTGGAATCAAGGGGCAGAGAAAGGTGAAGAGGTCATGGCTGGTTTTAACTGCAACCATAGACAGGCTTGCAGGTAAGTGTGGGGGCAGAACAACTGGGAGACCCCACCCGGCTGAGCTGCTGGCGGGATGGGGATGAGGTGATGCCAGGGCCTGAAGCACTTCTCTTCTGGGTGGGATGAGGGGTGAGAACTCCACTCTCCCGGAGCCATGTGTGCCACATGACCACGCGCCCAAGGATCAGTTCTCTCCACTCAGCTCTCGCGCAGACTTGCCTTAGTCCTTTTTGGTCTGAACCTTGTAAAGAGCCCTGAGGACGCAGCCACCTTGTGACAAGTCCAGGTCCCACATTATGTCGGATACGAGTGACCACACTGCTGGCCTCAGCAGCCTGACTGAGCATGTGAGAAGCAAGGGGTGCTAGACTCAGGAAATCAAACTAGGCTGTCCATGTCCCACCTCCCACTGGCAGGGGTCCCGCTCTGGTCCCCTGTGGAGTGCAGGAACCTGGGTGACACAGGAGAACATCAGACAGCCTAAGGGATCTTTCATATTGTTAGGTAGAGATCAAATCTGCAGGTGGTGGGTGTAGGCCTGGAGGGTGGCTCCTAGGAGTGGAGAAGCCAGGGACCAATCAGGGGAAGGGACTGCAGGAAAACACAGAACACCTGACAATCACCTGGTAACATCCCACACCTCCTGAAGGCCCTCCCATGGACCAGGCCAATAAAAGGAAACCACGTGGGAGTCTTCAGCCTCTTTCTCCACTTGTGGAGACTGACCTGTTCCTTTCTCTGGAACATATTTTCACTTAGGGTAGTTTCCTTCCTTACTTTCACTTTGTATAGTTTTTCTTTTCTGTAATAAACTGTTTGTGTGGGATTGCTTTGTATTCGTGATCACTGCGTCATCAGCTCAAGTTGGTACCAAGTATTCACTTTTGACACTGGGAACTGAGGACCAGGGAACATAGAGACAGACCTAACAATATGGCAGCCGAAAAACCAGACTTCTCTTTTCTTAATGTTTTGTCTGGGCTATTAGCCTAAGGACAGCCGATGGGCCAAGCACTGACTTTGACGTTGCGGGGTGACTGCTGGCAGCAAGTGTGAGGAAGAACACCCTGGTCAGGCAAGGCCAACCCTCCCCACCTCTGCCTCTGGTCCCTGCCCAGGTCTCCTATGTCCACCCAGCCAGTGGATTTTCACGACCTGGGCCTTCCAAGTGATTTGGCCAATGGGCAGCCCTGGCAGGAAACTGGAAGGAGAGGAGAGAGGCCAGGGATCTGGGATTACCTGGACATAGAAGCCCACCAAAACCTCTAGTTCTGTGAGAGCACCAGTGCCTAAAGCTTTGGGATGTGGCTCCCAAACTTATGGGAAATGTTGACAGCCATTGTTTCTGTAGAGGATCTCACTGCAGCATTGTGTGCACGCGGGATGGGCAGCAATGCATCGTGCATCACAGGGGACAAAGGATCACCAGCAGCACATGGTGTGCAGAGAAGTAGTTCTGCATGTGCCTGTGTGCAAGGACGCAGTCAAGTGCTGGTTAGCAAAGTCAAGTTACAAAAAGTTGTCCCATCAGTCAGGGCTCCACCTGAGAAGCAGCACTAATAAGAGACAAACAGCCTGAAATTGTGGGGGCTGCAGAGCAAGCCCAAAGTTCCCAGAGCAGGCGGTCAGGAGAGAAGGCCACCAGCAGGCTGGGACCCAAGGGCACGAGCTGAAGCTCATCCACAAGAGGCTCAGGGAGGCCTAAGCTTTTAAAGGCCTTCCAACTAATATGTCCAGCCTGCCAGGATAATCTCCCTTTGATTAAAGTCGATTAGGTACCTTAATCGCATCTGCAAAATCTCTACACAGCTGCACCTAGGTTAGTGTTTGAACAACCTCGAGGTGTGTGCAAACCACAAAACATCAGCTGCCTCCCTTCCTCTATCGCTCCCAAGATAAGACCCCCTTGTAGTCTCTCTCACTGGAGTCATCCCTGAAAGGGGATTCTGAAGGCTGCAGTTCAGCCCAGCAAGCGGACACATCAAAAGCCATCACAAGCACATACACGGTAATCCCGTTTGTAAGCGCGTGTGCCGTCTCGGCACACATCAAATGCGTTTGAAATGCAGAGAAAAAGATCTGGAATGACCCACCCCCAACTGTTAACAGGGGTATGTATGGGAATAAGGGGATGTATCAGATAAGGAGAATGGAGAGGGGGCTTTTACTTCCTATGTCAATATTGAGGTTTTATTGGTTTTTTGTTTTTACTATAAATATTACTTCAGTGACTTTACCAAAGTACAAGAAAATGTTTTATAAAATCTTGGAGTAGAGAAGGCCTTTCTAATCATTCAGAACAGATAGTTTTAAAACGGGAAATGCTTTTTTTATTTTTTTGAGCCAGAGTCTCACTCTGTCACACGGGATAGAGTGCTGTGGCATTAGCCCAGCTCACAGCAACCTCAAACTCCTGGGCTCAAGCGATCCTCCTGCCTCAGCCTCCCAAGTAGCTGGGACTACAGGTGCACACCACAAGGCCCAGCTAATTTTTCTATTTTTAGTAGAGACGGGGTCTCACATTTGCTCAGGCTGGTCTCAAACTCCTGAGCTCAAGGAATCCTCTCGCCTCAGCCTCCCAGAGTGCTAGTATTACAGGCGTAAGCCACCGTGCCCGGCCCAGGGAAATGCATTTTTTTATATCAAACACCTCATAATTAAAAGCAAAGAATTGAGGAAATATTTGTAATGTATCCTTTCCTCAAATCTAAGATGCACTTTGCCTCCCATCCACCCGCTCCTTGCCAAAAGGCAAAAAACCCAACAGCTGGTGGTTTGTATCACAATTGAGGAAACAGAGGTATCAGGGAAAAGGGATTTGAACCCTAACATAGAGAAGTCTTAAAAACCCAAGAAAAATGGGCGCAAGAGTTTACAGGGAATTCACCTATCAAAAGGCCAAAAAAAATGCAAATTAAATCAAGAGTGATACTTTTCATGATTAATGAAATGCTTAAACAACAGTCCCTCTCCACCCCCAACACTGTGGACCTAAAAAGTCCACCTCCACTAGCACTCTGGGAGGCCGAGGCGGGCGGATTGTTTGAGCTCAGGAGTTCGAAACCAGACTGAGCAAGAGCGAGACCCCGTCTCTACTAAAAATAGAAAGAAATTAATCGGACAACTAAAAATATATAGAAAAAATTAGCCAGACATGGTGGCACATGCCTGTAGTCCCAGCTACTCGGGAGGCTGAGGCAGAAGGATCGCCTGAGCCCAGGAGTGTGAGGCTGCTGTGAGCTAGGATGACGCCACGGCACTCACTCTAGCCCGGGCAAAAGAGTGAGACTCTGTCTCAAAAAAAAAACAGTCCACCTCCAACTCCAATGAAGTCACCATGGACATGTGCAAACTTGAACATGTCCACCATGTGCTCAGCTATTATAGTGAAAATGTGTGAAAAGATCTGGCAACAAGGTAACTGCTAAGTAAACCAAGGTCCACACAAAGTGGCAGAGGTACAGAGGAGCTGTTATCCAACGAGGGACAAAATTCTACGCAAAACTGACCAAATTCTGTAAAATAAATATCTGTACATATGCATTAGAGACTATGAAAACACACCAAAACATTAATAGTAGCTATCTCCAGAGAGTCAGATAAAGGGCAATTTTTTACAAATAAATGTTTACATTTTCCAAATGTTCCCTAATGATTTTATATTTAGAAAAAACCATGTTAATTAGAAAATACACAGTCACAGGTCAGGCCCTTAGCTGGGCTCTGGGCTGGCAGCTACCTTTCTGGCACATTTGCAAGGTGCTCAGGAAGCTGTCTGCATTCTAGGGGCTTAGGAACTAATGGTGAGGAGGGGTCACCAAGACTTGCTCACTTGCCACCAGGCTCTCAGAGGCTTCTCCAGTGAGATCTTTCTGTGGACAGGCCACTGAAGGCAGGTCCCAGCAGTCATAGCCTGCCCAGGGGCTCCTAAGGCCAGAGGGAGCCTGCAGGCCCCACCTCAGCTCCTGGCCTCTGCCCCTGGTACGTCTGCACCCTCAGTCCACCTGTGACTTACGAATGTCCCCATGTCCCTGCCCCTTCAAGTAGCCTCTGATTTTCCTGGCCAATCTTAGTACGTGAATGGCCAAACCAACATTACCCACCCCCCCGCCTTTTTTTTTCTGATAACAAGTCAATATTTAGAAAATAAACAAGTGCAAAAAGACTGGCAGGGCAGAGCAGCTCACGCCTGTAATCCTAGCACTCTGGGTGGCTGAGGTGGGAGGGTCTCTTGAACTCGGGAGTTGAGACCAGCCTGAGAAACACTGAGACCTCACCTCTACTAAAAATAGAAAAATTAACTGGGTGCAGTGGCATGCGCCCAGCTACTTGGGAGGCTGAGGCAGGAGGATCACTTGAGCCCAGGAGTTTGAGGTTGCAGTGAGCTATGATGACGCCACTACAACTCTAGCCAGGGTGAAAGAGTGAGACTCTGTCTCAAAAAAGAAAGAAAAATACCCCACTCACAATCTCTGTTTGGTTTGCTGAAGCCTGTGTGTGCATCAGGACAGACTTATCTGGGCTCAGAAAGCTGCTGTCCTGGCACACCCACACGCAGCCTCACCACTCTCTGGCTGAGGGCTGGTGGGGACTCACTCCAGGCACACCCTCCTCCCTGTCCTGCTCATCTCCCTCTGTGCTCCTTATGCTCGACCCTGGGACAGACCCTCCCTGGCCCCTTCCTTTGCTGTATCCTCAGGATGTGGGTTTACAGCTTTCTGTGCTGGGGCCCCTCTGGGGTGGGTAGATCTTCAGCCGGTTGTAACCGTCAACGGGGAGTCCAGCGGGGCACCCGCCTGCCACCCCCACCCTGCCGATGCTCTCGGCCATGGATCTTCTGGTGCTGGATGAGGGTGGACAGCTGGCTACAGGCCCTCCCGCAGGCCTGGCACCTGTACGGCCTCTCGCCACTGTGGAGCCGGTAGTGCTCGTTCAGTGTGTAGCTCCTGCGGAAAGCCTTGCCACACTCCGTGCACGTGAAGGGCTTCTCCTTGGTGTGGATCTTCTGGTGCAGAGTGAGGTTGGATTTGCGACTAAAGGCCTTGCCACACTCCGAGCATTCAAACGGCTTCTCGCCCGTGTGGAGCCGCTGGTGCAGAAGGAGCAGGGAGTTGTGTCTGAAGGGCTTCTGGCACACTGAGCACTCATAGAACTTGTCCCCCGCATGGGCCTTCTGTGCCGCACCAAGCAAGGGGCTCTGACCTCCACCGTTGTCCTGGGGGCTCTCCTCAGCATGCAGCCTGTGGTGTTTCAAGAGCGACGACCCTCGGATGAAGCGCTGCCCACACCGGAGGCAGCTGTAGGGCCTCTCCCCGCTGTGGATGCGGCAGTGCTCGTTGAGGGTGAACCTGCGGCAGAAGGCCTTGCCACACTCACCGCACTCGTAGGCCTTCTCCCCTGTGTGGAACTTCTGGTGCTGCAGGAGCCGGGAGCTGCGGGTAAAGGTCTTGCCACACTCACTGCACTCATAGGGCCGCTCCCGGGTGTGGACCCGGTGGTGGGACACCAGCTGCGTGCTCTGCCGGAAGGCCTTCCCACACTCGCTGCACTGGAAGGGTTTCTCTTCAGTATGGATCAGCTGGTGCCGCAGCAGGATGGAGCTCTGCTTGAAGGCCTTCCCGCACTCGGTGCACTGGTAGGGCTTGGCCCCTGTGTGGATGATCTGGTGCCTGAGCAGCAGTGAGTTGTACTTGAACACCTTGCCGCACTCGCACCTGTAGCCTCTCTGCCCGCTGGCGGCTGAGCTCCTTGCAGGCCGGCTGCCCCATTCTTCTCGCAGAGCCCCTGGGGAGATGCTTAACTCCTCAGCCTGAGCCCAGGGGAGGAGGCGTTGTCTATCTGACCTGTCCTCAGGACTGCAATTCCGGTCAGATAGCTTGGGGTCCCTCCTGGGGAGGCACCCCCAAACTGTGCCCGACAGTCTGGCCTGTCTAGAGAGCTCCCTCTTCGGAGGAGACTCTGCCATCCCAGCCTCCATCCTGGAATCTGAGAGAATAAACAGAAAACGTAAGGACGATCTAGCCGCTACACTCACAAAAGGAACTGATTTGAAGACAGAATCTTTTCTTTTTCCAAGTCTTTTCCCCCTAGCTTTACTAAAGTATAAATGACTAAAATTATGTATATTCGAGGTGTACAATATACATCTACATTGTGAAATGATTAACACAATCAAGTAAAGACAGAACCTTTATGTCAAAGGTATACGGAGGTTTGAGAAGTTCTTGCAAGAAGTTTTAAAATCATGGTTCAGGTGAGAAAGGGGAACAAAAGGAGGGGCTAAGAAAGGCTTAAGCACCATGGGAGGCTGGCTCAGGTGGGGAGCCCACAGGGAGGCCCAAGGCCTGGCAGGAAGACCCAGATGCTAGGCATGAGGTGCCCCTCTTGCCCCACAGCCCTGTTCTTTGTTCCTCTCTCCTTCAGAGGGATCACCCGCAGTCCACTCACTCAGCAAACTTGTCAGGGGCCCTGCCTCTGCAGAACTCCAGGACTAGGGGCCTCCTCCCCATCTCAAGGTCCTCTCTGTAGCCTCTGCTGCCCTGAGCTCAGTCCCTGGCACATGGAACATGGAAACTGGGAGAAATCAAAGGAACCCAAGGGTAGTGCCTGCTGCACCCATGGACCTGGCCCCTGACACCATGGGGACACCAAGACAAAGAACTCATACACTGGGCCTTCCTACGTAAGTTAGGCTTGGGTGACCTTAGACCTACAACCACAGAGCTCCAGAGGACTTTGGCCCATTGTGAGAAGCTAAACATGCACACCTCCCATTGTGCAGGAAGCGGCCTGCATGGAGCTGCACAAAGCCCAGGCCATGCCGAGGGCTGCATGACAGGCCCTGTGCCTCACACTCACCTGTGCACAGGCTGGCCTTGGTTCCTCTCTCCTCAGCCACCTGCAGAATCAAGGCCCCTGGCTCCTCCCCTTGCTCCAAGAGGGAGATCAGTGCTGGTTTGGTGATAAGAAAGCCTGAGCACAGGGAGGGAAAGCAGCATGTGACTGGGTGCAGGGAAAGGAAGGATGCCCAGCTGCCTGCTGGAGGCCTTAGGAGCACAGAGTGCTGGGAGGGTCAGGAAAACTCACCATCCCAAGAGGGGCAGCTGGGTGGCCGAGGGGAGAGGGGCTGCCCCAGGAGAGAAACCCCAGGCAGGCCGAGGCTGGGCAGTGGATGCCCAATGGGAAGCAGGAAGGGACTCCTTGGGGAGCCTCCAACTTCCCCTCCAAACATGTTAGATTTCACATTCGTAAAGGAACCAACTCCCCAGGGCCTGGTGGACGAGGCAGGGTCATCTCTGAGCCTAACACAGAAACACCTCCCAGCCCCAGCACCGAAGGGAGAAGCCCTCACCCAGCGCGGCCAGGTTCCCATAGTTCTCCAGCATCACGTCCCTGTAGAGTGCCCGCTGATCGGGGGCCAGGCAACTCCACTCTATCCTCGTGAAGTACACAGCCACATCCTCGAACACAATGGTCTCCTGCAACCACACACCCTGCTGTCCCGGGCAGCTGAGGCCTCGGCAAGGACCCAGGAGATGGGGAGGCCACATTAGGAATATTTGGGTGATCTGTCCAGCTCTGGGGGTTGAGGCTTTTGTCCTCACTGGTCACTGCCGTATCCCTAGGGCCCAGCACAGAGGGAGCACCCCAACATTCCTCAAGAGAGTAGCCTCCTCCTCCTCCTCCTCAGCAGAAACCCCAGAAGGTAGGAAAGGGAAAGTGAAATTGGGGAAGGGAGAGAGATTCTGCTAGGAAGGGGATCTCAACCTTGGCTTCATCCCTCTTCAATGGGCCATCAGGGATTTGGGGAAGGAGCACCCCAGAGATACTAGTGGCTGAGCCTCCACACTGGGGGTCAGCGTTCTGCCCTCTGGGTCTTAGTTTCCAACACCAGCAGTGAAGTCAGCGTCAGGAGAGTGGGACTGACCACTCACACCAGGATGAAGGCAGGCACTGGGGAAGGATAGGTGCTGGCTGACCCTAGACAGATGTTCAGGGGCTACGGGGGGCCCCAGGCAGCCCACTTGTGCCCAAAGCATCAGGAAGGAGTCGACAGAGCCTCGTGTGAGGGTTGGCCATAGAGGGAGGAGGCTGCCCTCAGCTTGCAGACTCCATTCTGTGATATGGGTGGGCCTGAGGCTCCCTGGGAAGATGCTCAGGGATGAAGGGCTGAGGCTGGGGGCAAAGGCAGAATCCTGGGGCAGCAAATAGGTCCAGAGGGAGTGCTTACCTGGGGTCCAGACATTGGGAGTGCCATCACCATTCCCGGGTAGCCAGTGGGGGCGGAGCAGGTGCTAGAGATGGTGCATGCTGGGGGAACACACAGCCGTGAGTGGAAGGAGCCCAGGCCAGAGGCCCCACACCCCCAGATCCAGAAGAGAACAGGAAATGGTGAGATGCTGAGGCAAGCACATTAGCCACTTCCCTCACGTCCCGAGGAGAAGCTGCACCCAAGACCTGCTCACCCACACCGCTCACTCCTTTCAGTGTTTGCTGAATGTCATCTTCCCAGGGAGGGCTTCCAGGATACTATTTAAAACTGCTGCCTGCTGCCTCCCCTTCCACCAGAATTCCTTATTCTTTGGCTTATTTTTCTCCATAGCTCTCTGCTATCTGACATAAAACAAGTTAACTTACTTGCTTCTTATCTGCCTTCCCCCATGAGCAAGGCCTCCAGTCTCTATCCCCAGGGCCTGGCACATAGCAAATGCTTGGTAAGGATTTGTGAAATGAACAAATGGATCCCTGACATGGGTGACTCTGCGACCAATAAAACCATGTTGTGGAACACTAGAAAACATTCTTGCTATGTTACTACATGAAACAAGACTACAAGCAGAAAAATAAACCTGGCAGCATAAACCCCAGCATATTAACCCTAGTTCTTTCTGGGTCATAGAATTATGAGTAATTCTTGTTTTTTTTAATTTCTTCAAGACTTGGTTATTTGTGTACCAACACATTTTACCTTTGTGGTTGTGGAAAAATTATTTATTTATTTATTTTCTATCGATTTTATTTTTTCATTGTTATAGCCCTGACTCAAGGGAAAAGTTATTTAAAAAACAGTAAATATGGCTGGGTACGGTGGCTCACGCCTGTAATCCTAGCACTCTGGGAGGCTGAGGTGGGTGGATCGTTTGAGCTCAGGAGTTTGAGACCAGCCTGAGCAAGAGCAAGACCCCATCTCTACCAAAAATAGAAAGAAATTAATTGGACAGCTAAAAATATATAGAAAAAATTAGCTGGGCATGGTGGCGCATGCCTGTAGTCCCAGCTA